ATTAAACCCACCAGCTGCATTATTCCCAGCAAGAGAATCAGACCACCTTTTGAAGCTTTGAAGCCAGGCATTGACTGCTCCTTTCTAGCTATGAAACTCCTGGAAAGCTGTTTCGTCTATATTGGAAAGCTGTTGTTTAGTGTAGCCGCCTTCATCACCGAGTTTAGCAAGACCTTCTGGACAATGCATGCAGCTTCTACATCAGCACTTGCTGCTACACCTTGCACTTGTATGTTGCGATAGCATCTTTCCTTAAACTTATGAACCAATCTCTGCTAGCTTCCAATTTTTCTTTGGCAGATTCTTCACCTCTTTTAATCTTCATAGAGGGAGGGCCTTGCTCTGAATTAGTCTTTGGCTTATAGGAATATTTTGACTTTATCCAGATCAACAAAACTTTCTCCATATCTGACTCTGTACACCAGGACGGGGATAGGGGGGCTGAGGCTCTATTTTATTTTCTTATCATTCATTCCTTCAAGAACTTTTCCTTTGTGTAAACAACTTGTCTGACTGTCTAGTACAACAGGCCTACCTTTTGGCCCTTCTTAGCTTTCAACATGCCATCCTTCCTAAGCTTGATCATTTCTAGCTTTTGATTTAAAGTGAGACGTATGCAATTCTCCCTTTCACTTGAACACTTAGAGACCATGTAGGGTTATTAATTGGCTTAATTTCAATATTGTGTGTCAAGGAATAGAGCAGCCCAAAGAAAAGGGGAGAGATGGGGAAATGGCTGGTGGGTGAGTAGTCAGATCACACATAACATTTACATGTGAAGTTCCCATCTTATACAGGCCCAGTTTGTGGCACCCAAGAACAATTACAGTAGTAACGTCCAAGATCGCTGATCACAGATCACTGTAATGGATATAAGTAATAATGAAAAAGTTTGAAGTGTTGGTAGAATTACCAAAACACGACACAGAGAGATATGAAGGGAGGACACAATGTTGAAAAAAATGGAGTGGGTAGAACTGCCTATTGCAAGGTTGCCACAACCCTTCTACTGGTGAAAAATGCAATATCTGGGAAAAGCAACAAAGCAAAGCCCAATAAGACGAGGCATGCCTGCATTACAAATGTTTACGACCCTCCCCCATAAAAACATTCAGTCAGCTTCCTCTGTGCCTAACAAAGCTAGACCCACGGTGATGCATCTGTGGCACGAAATCCGTGGCATGAAGGAAGAATTTGGGGTTACTGACTCCTAACATTGGAAGAACTATCCTGGTCAACTTCATTCATGGGAAGACTTTCTACTCACAGGAGTTTCTTGAAATGCATCCAGTTCCTCTCTCTATTTAACAACGCAATCCTCAGATTCTCTACGTGTTCCCGCAGGACACATATCATGCCTTGGATCTCCTATAATGCTCTTGAGGCCCTTCTCCCAAGTGTGCAGAGTCCCTCCTGGAACATGGCATCCAGAATGAAGTACAGGGCTCTACTAAGCACTGAGTTCAGCTGGTTTCACACCCCTCTCTCTCAGCACCCTTGCCTCATGCTAAGCTGAAGCACAGACAAAACCCAAACATTTATTCCATACAACCATTTATATGTATACTTACCTAAAAACAGACTTGCGTATTTTTCTGTTGACTTGATATTGTTTATTTTAGCTCATTTCCCTGCCAAGGCTTCCCAGCATTCTGCTACCTTCATGTTTACTAAAATGATT